CCTGGGGCAGAGTCCAGGGGAGCAGCCCCAGGCATCATCTCCCTACTGAGGGCACAGGTCTGAGAAAGAGAGAGAGGGGTGTGGGGAGACAGAGACACAGAGAAACAGAGAGAGAAATGGGGGGAGGATTCTCAGCTCCTGGGCCAGCACTCCCTCTGTTTATCAAAACACTTCCCTGCCTGGGACAACAAGCCAAGGCTGAACCCACACTCTCCCAGTCAGGCAGCAGCTGGCTCAGTGGGGCCACACTGCCTCCTGGTGCTCAGCTCTGCTCATTACTGGAATTGCACTCTACTGCCTGAGCCAGGAGCTGGACCCAGGGTACTCTAGACCCCAGGACAGCCCCAAAACGCTGGAGGATTGTCTCTTGCAATCTCAGCTCTTGTCTGTAAACATGAGGCAGGTATGCAACAACCCTTCTTGTCTAAAATGAGAAGAAAAGTCCCTCCTTCCTTCACATACTCTAGTAAGCATGGAGAAACCCAAGAGTGATTACATGCCAGGTGTCATCAGTATGTTGTGACCTAGGCAAGTCATTGTCTTTGACCCTGGTGATGCCCAGAAGGGAAGAACCGTGGATTCCCTCAGTCAACAAGGCTTCTCCATGGCTGCCGCAGCAAATGGAAGAGGAAGCTGCCTGCTTGTGTAGCTTCCATTTTTAAGATCCTATCAACTCTTTTGCTAATTTTTAGGTTGAATCATGTCTTCTTTCTAACTGATTCCTAGAAATTATTTGAATTATGAATATACTTCCCAAATACATTTTCATAATACAGACATAATAGACATAGTACATATAATTCATGTTTTATATATAATAAAACGTATTATTTAATTCTAAAGTGATATATTTTATTCTGAAACATTGATATGAATGTCTTGATTTGGGCCATTAGTATTAGTATGCTACTTCTTCCTGTCTCTTTACTTTTCTGTCCTGTTTCTTTATAATTGCAAGATTGAATTTCTTCTAGGAGATATCTTGATTTGTTGCAGTTATTTGTTCTTGTTTTGATTATTTTTTGGGCTGCTGGGGATTGAACCCCAAACCTCACATTCACACAAATGAATGGTCTAGTGGTCTAGATGCAACATCTATGCTATTTAATAAGAACATTAACACTGCTCAGATGTGATTGGACTGTTTATCTGGTGTCTGCATTTTGGTATGCTTTTTCCTTCCATGCCTTTCTTGTTCCTTTCTTAGTTTGGTCAATCTAACCTGTGGGGTAGGGTTATCACTTTCATAATTCCATTGTCTTTTGTGGATTTAACAACTATAACTTGGGACGTTGTGGTGAGAGTGGTAATTCAAAACTTTTACAAGGAAATATGGGAAAGCAAGGTCATTTGGAAATCGTATTGTCTTAAACCGGTATCAAATATGGATTACCACCTAAAAACAGGTGAAATGGAGAGATTTGTTCTTAAGAACTTCTGATTTTCAAAATATTGAACAGGAAATAGTTATTTATAACATCCAAAAATTTGTGCAACTACAATAGGTTAATCAAAAATTATTTTAAATTATTCAAGAGAGGACATGTATTAGATTACCATGCAGCAGTATGTACATATATGCAATTAATCAACAAACAGTAAAAATAGACAAGTAACACTGAAACAATTGAAAATCTAACAGAGAACAAACTAAAAGTCTGCTATTCCTCTGGTGTGAGTGTAAATTGACACACGTACTTTAGAAGCCTCAAAAGAAGCTACAGTGTAGATGATACTGCTGTTTGGATCTGTGAACTTCCTTTTAACACCTCATGTGAGATATATTTTATAAAATTGAGCAAAAAGAGGACATTAAAAATGACTTTCAAAAAATTCATAAAGTATCATATGGACATAGTTTTAGGTATATTACAAATACTGACAATTGCTTGTGGATAATTGATTTTGACGGTAATTCTTACTTACAATCTTACTTTTTTTCGGGGGTGGGCTCCAGTCGTGGGGCCTGAACTCTGGACATGGGCCCTGTCCCTCAACTCTTCAGCTCAAGGCTAATGCTCTACCACTTGAGCCACAGCGCCACTTCTGGGTTTTTTCTTTTTGCTTATGTGCTGCTGAGGAATCTAATCCAGGGCCTCAGGCATGCAAGGTAAGCGCTCTACCACTGAGCCACCTTCCCAGCCCACAATCCTACATTTTTGTAAAGGACTGATAGCTACAAATTGTCTTAGTGTTACTTTGTTCTGGCTAGCCAACTCTTCGATTTGTATATGAGTGTTAGTGACACTCAGCCCAGAAGTTTATTGTCAATATGTTAAATTATATAAACTTCCAGTAGAACACTTACTTCTCGTGGTCTGAGATTAAGCTTTCAAGTCCAATCCCAGATGTTGAATCTTGACTATAATTGTAATGTCAGAAAGCTTAGCCACGGTTTTTTCCTATCCTGACTTCCTTGTTGTAGTAATTCAGTGGGTATTTCCTGTCCTCCTGCTGTCAGATCTCCATTCTGGTTCCAAATCCTTCATTCCCTTCGATGAGGAGCAGGCCAGGCAACTCCTGAGTTTGGGTCTCTGGGAAGTGGGAGGAGGCTGAGCCCTTATGGTTTGTGCTCAGGAAGGAGGGGGCTGAGGCACACTGTGTCTGACAGCTGGCACACAGGGTCAGGGCCGAGTCTCCCTGCTCTGCAGGCTGCATCTTCAAAGTCCAGAAGGAGCCATTGGGCCTCTGTGCAGAGAACTGCTCAACAGGCATCTCAGATTTTTCTTCAGCAACTTCATACTGGAAGTGAGTCAGGTATTCTAGGCCTTGACCCGGGGTCTGTCTATACCAATAAAGATGCTCATGTCCAGAAATGGGGTCGCACTTGAGTAGCACAGTGTGTCCCCTCTTTGTGACTCTGTGTCGGGGAGACTGGGAGACCTCAGATTCAGTATGAACTTGGAATACAGAAGGACATTCTTTTTCAAATCATTACACCTAATCACACACACACACACACACACACACACACACACACACACACACACTCCCAACAGGACTGATTGCTTATTGCTACTTGGTGACTTACCAGTGCCAAGGAGGCAGAGAACCACCCAGCAGAGGAGCCTGGTGCTCATGGCAGAAGGAGGAAGAGGAGGAAGAAGAGAAAGTGACCCTAACCCATAATGAGACCACCACTGCTGCTCAGCTGATCTTGCAGTGGAGAGACAGTGCTGTGCTGCCTGATATTACACACAGCAGAAAACGCCATAGAACCTTAGGAGCACCAGGCAAGAGAGGTAGAAAGTATACGTCCATCCTAGGTCTCTGATCCTTTTGAAGACTAAATATTAGGAAATTCTCTGAGCTACAGATTTCTGTCTATGAACTATACCTTGAGATCTCCCACATATAAATGG